TAAACCACTTTTAATTCTAAAATTCTACAGTCACTTAATCTACATATAAACTCAAAAACTAGTCATAATACAGTCCATCAATTAGTCAGCCACCTGGACGAACCAGATACCCGCAAATCCTTATCTACAAAAAACAAGACTTAAAAGTTTCAGAAAAGGGATGAAAAAAATCTCTTCTAGCTATAACAAAAGCTTGAACGAAGAAAAAGCAGAAAAAAAACTGTTTAAATTTCGTCTTATGTGAATGTTGTCAAAGAGATTTTGAAGGATAAAGAGGAAAAGGCTAATCCTTTAAAAGCAAAATCCTTGAATCTATCGGAAGGAACGAGTAGAGACTGATGACGATGATGTTAAGACGAGATATTTGGGAGGGGGATGAGAATAAAGAAAGTTCATGAGCATAATGCGGAATCCACTTGTAAAAGTATAAAAACCCGCAAATCGTGTGTATGATGAAAAACTTTTACTACCCTTCCTGCTTCCGTACACAAACATTAAAGTACTTATGTTGTGTTTATTTTTTTATAGTTTTTTTTTTTGCGTTCTTACTCAAGATAATAACAATCACTTGCTGAACCAAAAACTTTGTCATGACGAAAAAAAAGAGAGAACTTCCTTAATCATAAACACTTGCTTGTAAATTTCTTTATTCACAAAAATGAGGAACTTTAAAGCGCTAATGAGAAAATTGTCATTTGATGATGAAGAACACTCTAGTTGCGATCGAGTAAAAGTTTTACAGCCTCCCCAAAACCCCCCATTTTATAAATCTTATAAAACAATTTTTTTTATCGGAAAAGCAAGCAGGCATCGAAGCTAGCTGATGATGAAGAATTTTTTTTTTTTGCAGAAGAAGGATTATTTTAAGAACAAAATTTTAACCTTAATTCGAGCAGAAATGTGGAAAATCTTAATCTTCTCAACCTAAAGAGAATTATTATTAAAGGAAATGTGGAGTGAGTTGACGGGGTTGGAAGGAGTTTTTAAAAGGTTTCTTCCTTACTTTACTTACTTACACACTTTAGATTTATTCCGTTCTGATTCTCCTCAGCCTTTCACTTCCACAATTGAGTTTGTGTCTCTTCTTCAGCTAAAAATCAATTCCGATTACTTATTTTTTTGTGCGACATTTTTTCCACTGTCGATTTTTTTTTGTTGCTTCTGTTGTGTGCTTGGATTAATTTTTTTTGTTTAAGGAAGGCATAAGTGAAATGTGATTGTTTAGAAATGATCGATAAATGTTGTGTAATAGCTTTTGTAGGACATTTAAGGAATTAACTGAACAGTTGATAGTTTACTGATGCAATCTTAAATCTGAAGCTTTAATAGACTCGCTTCTGAGTTTGAGCATAGCTTAGTCTTGAAAATCAATCAAGATGTAAGCAAATTTGCCAATTTGAGATTAGGAATTCTATGGTCGAGAGGTTATGCAGCAGTTATTAAAACCAAAACCCTCTGTTTTGCTTAGACTTGAGTTCGATTCCCACCTGAAGCTGATCTCCCAATTACCGACCATGTGACAACAATTCACGCAACGTCCACAACATAACAGTTGCTTCAACAATCCTTCATCCTCAATTAAATCCACAAAACTCATTTACACCTCTAGAATTCACAGAAACTTTACCATCAACACCATTCATTCAACAAAGCAAAAAAAATGACAACATCAGCAACAAAAAAAATATTCGAGAGCAACAGATTAAATGTGTAACATCAACACATCGCGACATTGAGCTTTTCACATACATCCGTGAAAAGCTTCATCTTCTTCTGCTTTATTTCTTCTCTCTCTTTCCAACCAAATAACTCTCTCGAATTTTTCTTCTTCTTCCTCTTCCTTGTGCATGAGAACACACATGATTGTTGCTTGTTTTTGCTGCTCTCTCTCTGTGGCTTCTGTTAAAACAACAACAACAGAAAAAAATATGAAGAAAAAAATTAGCAGACTTTTGTGTGTCTTTACTTATCTAAATCAGATGTGACGATGTGAAAGAGGCATTCAATCTACATGTGGAAGTGGCTTTTTGAATGAATTCAATTTTGTTGAAGCTTTTGAAAATCTTTCTAAATTCTCATGATGGCTTATAAAAGGAACTATGATGATGTTACTCATTATGATGATATCTACTCATTTAAAAGAAGGCATTCATATGTGACGTCTATTTGAAAATGGGGGTTTGGACATCCTATCTTAATATAATGTATCCATACTGCTTGATTTTTCTACATCACAAGCAAATGAATCCGCCCAAAAAATAAGATAAAATCCTTTCTTTTTAATTTTAATAAATCGAAAAGCTAGTTTAGTCTTCTGACCATTGTTTCTACCTCCTCACACTCAAAAATCTTTTCATATTCATAATATCCTGAATCTTATGTCCTTTTTGTTGGAATGAGGTAGAAAATTTTTCATTCTACATTTATAACCAAAAAGAAATCCTCTATCGGAACTTTTGTGCACAAAAACACTTTTCATAACACACAATTAAGAATAGTTTGTGATGGATTTGCATAAATTTCAATTTCTTTTTTTCTGTGTGTTTTTATTTAAATTTTGTTGAACGGACAACGGAGGAAGATGATGAGTTGAAGGAGGATGAAGAAAAGTTTGTTTTTTGTTTGAAAAAAACTTATGGAAACATTCTGTTATCAATATTATTAGGTCTTAAGGATTTTCTTTCTCTTCGGACGTTTAACCCCTTTTTCATGACTTAATAACGAACTAACTTCAAGACAGGACTTGTCTTGTCTCGGTCTTCTACTTCTTTCAATCCTGACTTAGTTATGTAAATGTTTTTTTGAGGGAATTGAGAGATGGGCTGGTGGGATTTGTGGAATATGTTGGTCAAAGCTGCTGCTAGGAGCTATGTCAAAGTTTGAAAGCAATAGCTTCATCCATGACAACATGAAAATCAAATATTTAAGACAAACATCTTGTCAAGCTTATTAGCAACTTCTAGTTTAGTAATTAGATCCAGTGACGAGAAGTCGAAGGTACGAGGGTTTAATTCTTAATTTATCGACTATAATTGTTTACGGTTTTTGGATTGACCTTAGGTTGGATACTAAGCTATCCGGGTTACTAAATGCAGGTTGTCTATGATTATAGTAGAAAATCGAAAGAACAACCTATAATTCTAGGTTAAATTTAATCGAGAAGCCTTAAAAGCTGGCAAATGTTCAAAACATTGGCTAAGTCCTTGTTCAGAATCAACTCTAAGTATAGGTTTGGTTCAAGATAGGTATCAGAATCAGTTAAGATTAGGGGTCGTTGACTTATGACGTCTATCAAAAAACCTGATTTTTAGACCCCCTCTCCCCCTCTGTCACAAAAATTCAATAGAAAAAAATTTCCATTGTTTAGACTGTCACAAAATCCTAGACCCCCTTCCCCCTAAATGTCGGACGTCATAAGTGAACGGCCCCTTAGGGTTGTCTCTTTTTCTAGAGTCAGTATCCAAGATTGTCTAAGGATTTACAAAAATTCTACCATAAGCACCCGAAAGATATAAATTTTTGCCCATCCACACATCCTCATTTATTTATGTAAAGTTATGAAAAATATCTACAAAATTGTTATAGTTTTTAACTCAACAATTTGGTCAGCAATCTTCGTTGAGCACTTTTCAGAAAAGAGTGTTGGAAAATAAAGAAAAAAAAGGTTAAAATATTCAGAAGAGTAAAATTATTATGCGAAAAATACTATTTCTTCATATCCTCTCACAAGCCAAAAACTTAATAATATAGAGATAGAAAAGAATGGAACATAATAACAATAAGAGATTTTAGAAGATGAATTTAACATTTTATTTGAAAATAGAAAAATTGGACATTCATAGATTTCCATTCCATAAGTAAAAGAGCTTAAGCTAGCATAAGCCCGATATGTTTTACAATCTGCTTGCTTTTTCCTTTTCATGCAAGGATAAAAAAAAGTTTTTTATATGAATTTCAACATATTATAAAGTTGATGAGAATGAGGAAAGCAAAGTGGACAATCAAGGATTTTCTAAGGTTGAAAGGGGAGTAAGGAGGGACTAGAAAAAATTATTATTTTATTCCTTCTGATGAAGAATTTATTAAAAGGACGTCATGGTTTTAAGAGAGAAAAGAGAATGGACAAGATGAATTTAGTCAAACAATATTCTTATTGTAGAAGCCAAATGTTCATGCATAAAAGAGTATTATCGAGTTAACATGTAGGATTATGAGAAGGAAAATTATTAAAAAAATTTTATCATAAGCTTAAAAATTGAGAATGAATGAATGAGTGCATGTGTGTGGATTTTTTGAAAGTAAATAACCGAGTGGCATACGATAATGTTTAGTTACATTTGGATGAGAAAAAGGTAGGAAAATTTATGAAAAATCATAGATTTGAAATGTAACTAAAATGAAATTTCTTCTGAGAATTTAGTAAAAAATTGATAAAATTTATTAAATGATGCCACAGCTAGCAACATCTTCTTTCATTCTATAATGAATCAATTATAGGCAAAAATTATAAATTATAGGATGTAAATACATAAAGCAAAAGTAATTGGCGGTTCCCATGGTAGATAAATCATCAATCACATATCAACTATTAACAAATCAGTCTAATTAGATTGCCTAGTGAATTTGGCTCTAATAAGTTAATATCACACTGTTTCAGAAGGCACGTAATTCTTAGACTATCATGTCAATGACTTTAAGTCAAGTTGAAATTAGAAATTTTGTAGCTTATTGACATAGTAGTTCTCACCATATAGTGTAAATTGGTTCGAATCCTATCAAGATTGACATGCTTTTATAACTAAAGCAAGCTCAAGTAAGCAAGTTCGATTCCTATAAACCACGAGTATATAGAAAATGATGACAACAGTTTGTGCTGTTTATTGTGTCAAATCTGTATTAATTAAGCATTCATATGTCACTCGGTACTCAAAAAAGCCTAACATGCAACAATTTGAAAAAACAATCCTCATAATTCCCATCTCCTTCTTATTTCTTTACAGCAAAATCATTGCCACTTCATTGTGTCGTTGAATCAGTTCCATCACTGCAAGCATCATTCCAAGTAGACGCACGCAGTCCATGGAGACGACGACCAAACATTGAGATGGATAGCTATATTATAATTCCAGCAACAACACCCTTTTGTGATATTGTGACCATCGCATTACAACGACTTGGATATTCGTCTGACATTTCAAATACAGCTAAAGGTGAGTTTGTCATGCTTATTATTAATATTTTTTTTTTGTTATTACTTTGGCTACTGTTGGACTCTTTTGTCGCCGAAGCAAATGGCGGCACAGAGCGACAATCCGGCAATATACAAAAGTATCTTAAGACTTAATCAGATTAACTCAATCACATATAAATTGCATCATATTTATGTACATTCATTTTGTGCTTTCTTTCTCTTCTTTATCTGTATAGGAGCAATAATAATCAAAAACTGGAAGCCACTTCCACTCGATAAAATCACCGACAACACATTAATATCAGTCAGTGAGATTCTTGGCGAATTAACATCGAGTGTGACATTAAAAATTACAATAATACGTACAAAACCCACACAGCTGGCTGAAATAAAAGACAAACTGTTGAAATTGTTGATCCTACAATCCCACACTGTATTGCGATCGAGTGGATGTCCATTAGATGAGGTAAGCAAATACACATAGTCGAAAAGAATAATAAAGCGGTAGTTGTAGAAATGGAAATGAAAATCTGCTTTCATGAGAATTTCCATAAATCACACAAAAAAATGCTCTGTCCCCAAAAAAATAAAGTAAAAAATTCTTCTGGGGGGTCGTTCGTAAATTACGTCTTTATTCATTTTTTGGGGGGGTTTAAAGATTTGTGAAGCTCAATTTCAAGGATAAGGGGGATCTGAAAAATTATTTTCTTTAGACGTAACTAATGAATGACCCCCTCAAACAGTCATAGGAAACTGTAAGTAAGTACAGAGATTTTTAAGAAAAAAAATTCTTCTCTTTATGCTTAAATAAATAGCTTGTAACTGTGAGGGATAGCTTCGCATAAATTTTCCTCTTCTTAATGCCACAGCACTTGCTATGTTGAGCTCTGATTCCATTTAATTAAACCCAAAAGAATTCTTACTTACTTTCTTGGTGACATGGAAAATGGCAGAGAATTTGTTGTTTATGTTGAATCTATTTTTATTAGGGAAGAATTTAAAAATTACGAAAAAGTTAAATTGGAATTACAATTTTTTTTCTTCGTTAATCTTCATGACAGAAATGGAAAGGAATGGATTTTTTGTGAGAATTTTAATGAGGAAATTTTATGATGATTTTTAATCCTCGATTTGTGTTTGATATCTGAGACTCGCTAGTCTTTGGGATATTTTTAATGCGCGGGGAAAAATTATTGTTTGGGTTTTTTGGAATTTTACTAAGAGGGGTTAGTTTTGAGGGAATATTTGGAATTTTTAAAATATTTTAATTGGATGTTTTTTGAGTTTTGGAAGCAACAAAAATTAGAAAATTTAAATAATAATTTATAATTTTAAAAAGTTTTTAAAAGCTCCTATAAAAATCCCGCTCACCACATGTTGATTGGTTATCAAATTTATCACAAACTAGCTATTTTCATATCTTTTACATACCTTGATTTAAAAATTTGTAGATTCACAAATGCCCCCCCCCCCCCCCGCACCGTCATCAACTTCCTATACATTAATATCTGAAGATCTTACAGCAAAAAGATTTAAAAATTTACAAAAGTAAAAGTAAAAATTTACAACCTCTCCCTTAAACCCACGTTTAGGTCTCGAAAATTCAAAAAAATTGACAAAAATCTCCAACATTAACTCAAAATCTCAAAACAAAAAATTCAATCCCAAAAAAATTATATTTTGTTATAATTTTAAATACACAACAAAGAAGCAAAAATCTGTAAAGTGATTCAGAATAATGAAAGGAGATTGGCCGATGCCGAAGAAAAGGAGATTTATTTATCATAATTAATTCATTCAATGTCTCACTCACATCCATAGTTCTCAACATAATAATAATAAAGAAGTCTCTTTGAATATGTTCGTCATTATTAGCATTAAATTAATCCACAATCATTAACATATTTCTTCTTTCCATCTTGGTCGTGACTATCTTTCCATCTAAAAACTGATATTTTATGTAGATTTTTTCTATCCTCAAAAAAGACTCTGTCTCCATCTCATTCTAATTTGAAAATCACATCGGGGAGGGCTTTATGGAATTGGAAACATTTTAAAATGTACAACAATAGAATAAGAAAGACGATGGATGATGAGAGTGTCTTATACGTTTGATGGCATTAATGATAATTATAGTTGAAAGCTTCTTCAATCTCCAAAGTCTTAAATATTCTTATTAATAATTTCTTTGTAGCTCTCTTTTTATTTCATTTCGTGTGTCGCTAAGCTATAATCTTACAACATGACTCTTTGCCATTGAAATATAATCAATTGAGTCGCACAGACACACACACAAATAGCAGTGTGACGTTAATGTAGGAAGATATTGCTAAACAAACATGTTTGTCGTTTGATAAATCTTGATTAATATATTGAGACACAATATCAGATCAATTTAAACGATTTAAATTATTTTTCTCTTCTTCTTATTCACTTAGTTTTCGTGAAATGATGATTTTTTTGGTGATGTAGATTTTTGGTTGAGATGAGATTTTTTCGAAAATTTGGGTAATTTTTTTACATTTTGATGGGTCATGATCAATTCTTGTGATTATGGATCTAAGCTTCGATAAAAATTGAATAGGTTATTTCTCATCAAAAATCCCAAATTTCACCATATCATCCCCAACACCCACACTTCCTATCAAACCCAAACAAATTGAACAATTCAAGTGCGATAAATCGCTCGACTCAAACAATTGCGATCACAATCAATGAGACATAATACATTCAATTAATTGAAACTTTCCATGATACTCATCGACTAAGACAGTCGCAAGTCTCAATTTACATTCACAAAGTCACTGCATAATCGATAAATTAATAAAATAAATATTTAATAGAGATTGATACTCAAGTGCTGTGTGTATGTCGGGTATGGAAATAAAAATAAAAGTTTAAAATGAAAATAAAGAGAGAATAAAAACAACCTCAAGCGATTGAAAAGAATGTGAAGAGGTGGATTTTTTTATGTCAATTTAATTGAAATTAATTTATCTGATTTAATTTTTTATGTTTGCGATAAACAAGAGATTTTTTATTGTGTCTGTGGTGGTTTTGTGGAGATATTAGTTTCATCAAATTGAAATTGTTTAAAGAAATGATGAGATTTGATTGGGGGAAGTATGGGAATGTGCTGATTATAGGATGATAGAGTCAATTTAGTCAAAATTTAATCAAAAAATTGGATAATGGCCCTCAAATCTTCAGATGACACCCCCCAAAAAATTAAACAATTATTTTTCAATTCGAAACTAAACCAAGTCAAACAACTAAGCCATTTCATGTCTTATCACACTTAATTTCCCATATTCATACTAAAACAACACTAATAATGCTATTTATAGTCATACTCTAATAAAGCTTAAACAAACATCTTATGTTCATACCAAACAATTAAACCAGTGATTCACATTTATTAAAGTGAAAAAAGTCATATAAAATACCCCGAAATATAAGCTTTTAATAAAAAAAATTAGACTTTATAAAGTCAACACACTTAATTGGGTTGTTCATGAGTGATGTGGAGCAAAAATTAAATTTTTAGAGCCCTACTAAAGATAGGTTTACAATATGAATTTAGAAAAAATTCTTCAATGCTTTTAAGACCTTTAAATGCTTGATATAACCATTAATAAGCATTAATTAGCTTCAATCAGTCTTTATTTGCCCTAATTCACATTAATCTAAGTTTAATCTTGATATTCCTCACATTATTCAGCACTGAACCAGGTTTTTATTGATTAGAGCAGTTTTTCTCAAACTATGCTCCCAGGTACTTTAGTTTTCCATGAGAAAATCCAATGTCCTCTACGAAAAGATTAACGGAAACGTTTTTATATGCAGGAGCCATAAAAAATGAAGAAAACCTTGTAAAGCCTTTTTTAAACGGCAAATGAAAACAATTTCCCTATCCTAAGCCTAGAGTGCCTAAAGTGTATTTAAAAGTAACATCAAAAAGCTCCACATTCAAATGTACATAATTTAACAAACAGCCCCACGCATGATTTCATACAAGAGTCAATAGAAATTAAGATAAAACAGAATGAAAGCCATGTACACACAAAAATTCTGTTTTCCTTTCTTTATCTCTCATGTCGAATAACCAAAAAAAAGATTCAGTAATTAATTTATTTTGTACCTAGAAATGATGAAATTTTTAAAGCATTCTCGTGTACAACATGTTGTTGGCCTCATAAACAATATTTTTTTTTGTTTTCATGACACAAAAAAAACCGTTGTTATCATTGTTATCTTTAACATAATCAACGAACCTACTTAATACTTTGTCTTATTATATTTTCATCTTAATTACAACACATTTTTGCAGCTTATCAGCTGCATCATCAACTTTTATCTTGAGATTTAAAAAGATGAAGAAATTTAAATATTTATTTTCTTCTTTATTACTTCACAGATTACATTATCACAGATATGCCGTAGCCCATTGCAAAATAATTTTCCATTTCCTGAGATTTCCGATGAGATTCGAAGGAAGTTTGATCAATGGTGGGCTAGTCAACTGACACCGCAGGCTAATCCAATTGCACATAAAATTTTGCCATTCATAAATCCACAAGCAGCTGAGTTGGACTTTGCAGCACCAAATTTACACAACTTACAGCAATCGAGAGAATCATTGATTGAAAATCATCATCAAACACATCCAGGAATGTTGGTTCATCCAGCATTACAAACCGTACATTCACAATATCCAAATCAAAAGACACGAATGCGAACGAGTTTTGATCCAGAAATGGAACTACCGAAATTACAGCGTTGGTTTCAAGAGAATCCACACCCGTCACGTCAACAAATCCAAGCATATGTCGTACAATTAAATTCACTCGAGTCACGACGTGGTCGCAAACCACTTGATGTCAATAATGTCGTTTATTGGTTCAAAAATGCACGTGCAGCACAAAAGCGAGCTGAAAATCGTGGAAGTGTTCATAATTTGAGTAATGGCTATAATACACCAACTGGGCTAATGATGCCACAACATCCAGATTACATGAAGAGCTCGCCAAGTGCACCATCCGAAGATATTGATAATATTTCACAACATTCTGATGACATGGATGATGATGATCGTCCAATGTCACCACAACTTCCATTACAATTGACTGTACACGAGAGACATCGTTCGTCCTCATCACCGCCACACATTGAATGTGAGACGAGAATTAAATTAGAAGATGAAAAGACAATGAGTCCGATGAGGAAGGCAAATAGTGGCGATGAGGATGAGACAAAACACAGCAACAGCAATCGAATGGAAATTAGTGGCGTTATGGGAGGCAAAATGTCCGATGACAATGGAAATGAAAATGTTCAAAATTTTAGCAATAAAGCGAGCAGCAACAACAACAATGATGATTCTGTTAAATCAAATAATTCAATTGATCATAGTTCAAACTCACCGCAACCTCGCTCACCATCACCATCGGAAGACTTGGATATTGATGACCCGGAAATGTCACAAATGGACGAATACCGTTCACCATCGCCATTGGACTCAAAACGTGATTTATTGTTGCCAATGATGAATCCAAACAATATGTTTTCGGCACATTCAATTATGTACATGAGTCATTACATTCCAGCTATGCAAAATGCCCACCAATCAATGCATGGACAAAGTCCATCGTTGAATACATCAGGCTTAAATTTATCAAACTCATTCAACAGCAGCGATGAGAGACGTAAGCGCAATCGAACCTTTATTGATCCCGTAACGGAAGTTCCTAAATTGGAACAATGGTTCTCGATGAATACACATCCATCACATAATTTGATTCTGAAATATACGGAAGATTTAAACCGGATGCCATATAGGTAAGGACAAAATTGTTAAATTGATTAATTATTGTGTATTAATTGAGTGACTTGTCTATTCAACAGGCAAAAGTTTCCACGTCTCGAGAGTAAAAATGTGCAATTCTGGTTCAAAAATCGTCGTGCAAAATGCAAACGCTTAAAAATGTCCCTCTACGACTCACCATCGCAATTGTCCGGTCTTAATCCATTCCATAGCAGTTCTGATCGCGAATAATATTTAATGAACAATTTTAATCAATTTTATCAGCCTAAGCAAAAGTATGGAAGTGAGACTCCATGAAACAAGGAAGATTTTGCTTCCGGCATGCAACATGATATGACAGCTAGACACCAATAAGGATGCATGACTGATAAAAATTGATTGAAATTGACTTGTTTATTAATTGTTCAATTCTTTTTTATACGTATTAAAAGTAATTACTACTACACAGTTTATTGTGGGTGATTTAGATTATTAAGATGTTCACGCTGAATTATATTTTTTAAAGTTTTTAGTTTTTGACACCTCAGTTGACTTTTAGATAATTTTTTCCTGTTTTTTTTTTTACTATCACGTTGATTTTTTATACTTTTTTCTTGGAGTTAAAGTTGATGAAAAACTCTAAATCACGAATAATTTTATTTCAAGTTTTTCGGTAGCTAGATTCAAGATGCAACTGAATTTTTTTTGAATATTTGAAATTTTTGAACTTAATTCTGCAAAATTTTATGTTTAAAAATTTTTGAACTTAAGTCTTCAAAATTTTAATTTTAAGGTTTGAAAATTTTTCCAATCTTTTTTTAATTTTTGAAAGCTTTTGAATTTTTTTCAAATTTTTAAAATTTTTTGAAATTAAAAAAAATTAAAGTTTTCAAAAGGTAAGTTTGCTTTCGAATATTTTGAAAACTTGACATTTTTGACAAACTTGAAATTTTACTTTTCGAAGTTTTAAATTTTTTTGAATATTAAAAGTTTTAAAACTTAAAAAATGACATTGTGGAAAAATAAATTTTCAAAATCTTTCATAATCAGTTGCATCTTAATTAAACTACTATTTCTAATTTATTAAGACTTGGTTTTCAAATTTAAAATTATTCATCAGAAAAAAATGCAAAAATAAAAAACTTGTAAAAAACACATTTTATGCAGAATTACTTCGCCATTAGTTAAGTTTTGATGGACAGAGAAAATTGTGGTTAAAATTAAGAATTTCAAAAAAGTTTAAAGTTTTTAATTCCAATTATAAAATCACAAATTTTCTCAACCCAAAAATTGCAAATTTTGTAAATAAATAAAATAAACATTTGCCCACCTTAAAATTAATAAATTAATATTAAAAGATATAAAAAAATTTCAAAAGAGCACTCCACAATAAAAAAAATTAATTAAGAGATGAAAAAAAAATAATAAAAATTTTCAAATTCACAAAAATAAAAATGTTCTGGTCATGTAAACGTAAATTAATTAATTAATTAGTTGAAATGCATATCGAATAATTCAAAAAAATAATAATAATTATCAATAATTGATATTTTATTCCTAAACTATAAATAAATCTTAGATGTAGACATCGAAAAAAAAGTATGATGAGAACACAACAGACACTTATTCCTTTTTAGGAGCGATAGAGTAGAACGAGTAACTCCACTTTTGCTCAATTTTAAGAGAATCAGAAACAAATTTAATATTTAAATGCTTAAAAAACTACTTTTTAATTAAATTAAAAGAAAATTTATAGCGATGATGTTTCATGCCAAAGATTTTTCTGCAATGAAAAACTTAAACTAAACATGAATTAGGAAGGAAAAAGATGAGAAAAGTATTTTAAAAAGTGGTTTTGGGTGGAAATTTTGATGATGGAAATTTTGGGAATTTTTTGGTTAAATTTAAGATTTTTGTAGATTTTTTGAGATTTTTATAGATTTTTGAAATTTATGATTTTCGACTAGATCCACAGGATTGGTTAACTTGATACCAGTGATGCGTTAACTATGTTCTGCGTCCAAAAGGTTCAGTCTCGGTATCGTAAGGATGATATACTTCACTAAACCAGGTTGTCACTGCTTTATAACAGACGTGTAGCTTAGGGATAAGCTTAGGGATAAAAAATCAACAAAGAGTAATGAAAATTTCAAGCTAATGGAAACATTCCAAATGAGCTTTTTTTGAAAGAATCCCTGATCTAGAATTTTCCTTTATTTGATAAACATTTATCAACAAACTTTGTTCTTTTAAGCAACCAAATTATTTCAAATATCGAACGTATTCCTTATATTCCATTTGTTTATGTTGCTGATGAGTTTATTAGCATTTCAGCTAGCAAATATTACCAGAAAATACATAAAGACACTCCAAGAACATCCTTAAAGTTCCTCAAAAAAAAATTCTATCATTAAAATTTCCACAAGAAATCGAATAAAAAAGGCTATAGCAAAAATATGAGAAAAAAATGATTAAATGTAAATTTTACAATCAACAACTACAACAAAGGCTATATTAATTAATTAATCAAATTAAATTAATTTTTTTTCTTCGATAAGTTAAAAACACTCAACAGAAAAAAATGCTAGAAGTTCCACAATATTTTTTTATTTCAAGAGCATCCTGCAAATATTTGTAATTCACTTAAAATGATATTCATGAGATATTCAAACAATATTTTAAAAAAAAGTGAAATAAAAAAATGGATTTTGTATAAAAAATGAGGCAAAAATTGCAGAAATGAATAAATTTTGGCATATTTCTTTGATGGTATCAAATACCGATTTTATTGGAAATTGAATGAAAGATTTTAGTGACATTTTAATAAAAAAAAAACAAAAGCTATAAATATAGAAAATAAATAGATTTAATTCCGCTTAGTTCATCACAAGAATCAACTACAAAATATGCTATAAATTATATTAATAATTATTGATAAATTAATGAAAAAATGAATGATAAATAATAATGATAGACATTTAAATATTAATTATTAAAGTAAATAAATCATAATGAATAGAACTATTAAATATTGAATTTAAAATTAGAGAAAGAACATTGTAAAAGCTTCATATGAAGGACAAAAAAATAAAATGAAAAATTTCAACAATTTCAATTAAAAATTTGGATATTTTTTTTTAACTTTTCAGGAAGAATTGAAATTATTTTGGATCAATTTTGGAAATCTTTTTGGTAGCTATTTAGAGTACAGACTTAATTCATAAGCATTTGAACACCCTCCCGCCTCCCTCCACGGTCTTTTTTAAAAACTTGTCTAAAAAGAGTTTGAAATTATTTATTTTAATTTTTCATAAAAAATAAATAGAAATTAAAATGCATTGGAAATTTGAATTTTTGTATAATCCTAGTTCATCCCAAATTAAACCATAGAAATTTTTAAAAATTCCATTTTAAATAAAATAAAAGAAAAATAATCCACACGATACACATAATCCCAATCACGAAAATCTAATAAAAACAAAGAAAATAATATAAAAGATTCAAATGAATGTATTTACAGCTAAAAGGGGTTAAACGGCACACAAAAGAAATCTTTTTCCATTTCCACCCTACACAGTAAATTTTGTTTTAATTTCTTTAAAATATTTCAAGTTTTTTTAATCCTTCAAACTGCAACATTCATCAGAATAAAACAGAAATCTTCAATTTTTCTCAACGTAAATCCTTTACAGACTCATAAAATGTAAAATTTTACTTCCCTTCCATTCAACATAATCTCTCCATTTGTTTTCGCATAAAGATTTAAGATTGAAATGGTTGCGTCTCACTGCTGTGATGTTCCTTAATACAAATTATAATGTGAAAAGTTATCAACTCATACATAAATGGCATACATACACATGACACACATGATGATGATGTTGTTGATGATAAAAAAGATCTTCTTAATTTTCTTCTTTCCGGAGAGAGGATTTGAGTCGAATGTGTAAGGAGGGGTGGTGAAATTGCGGCAACAAGAATCACTTGAACCGCAAACAATGTGAATGAGAAAAAAAATATTCTTCACAATTCATAAATAAGTCGTTGAAACATTCATGAAATAAATACTTTACATTATTTTGAAGTATGAATTTTATTCTGCTGAGAAGATACATGAGGATGAAGAGAAATGTTTGGGGATGTGAGGACGAGACGCATATTATTTATGGATATTTATTAAGATCATTTTTGGGTGTATCTTCGACCTAATAATGATGGATTGAATTATTAAGCATTCGGACTGATAGACTTTACCCTGCACCTCCCTCCTTGACTCGAACTGTTGCATTTATAGTATCAACCTTGATGCTTGGGATGGGAGCCAGTGGTAATATAGGCGAATCTGCCATTACAAGAGTAAGGTCTTCGTGTCGCAAGTGGCTAGGCAATAAACCAGATATCTGTAACCCTCTTATGAGGATGTGAGTTCGACTCCCACCAGAGACTGATCTCTCAATCTACTGATAGAGTGTTGTCGATTTGAAAAGGATTCGTGTAATGCTCACGACATAAATCTATCTTAAAAAAGCTACAGATCACAATTGTAGTCTTCTAAAGCCCTTAATGCAGCTGTCATTCTCGGAACCGGCAGTTTTAGTGCTGACTCAATTGTACACATGATTTTCTTCGGATAAAATTCTCGTTTTACTATATAAAATCAACTCTATACCTTATAAAGATAGACATGATGACCTGTATGACCAATTAACATCCCGACAAAGTGTCGACTCACTGCAATATCCTCAAAACTCACCAAAAAAAAAAAACATGGAAGGGGATGTCTCTGAATTAAAATCTGTATATTCTTTTCCTCTCATCAAAAATTGTTTCCACAACAAAGCATTGAGTTAAGCCAAATACAATAGATATATGAAGGAATCAAAAGTCGTCACACAGATTAAGAAGCACATAGAATTCTCATTCCAGACAATGATTTTTTTTCACTTCATTGTTATGAAAAATCACTGAAAATCCTTCCTTCATTTAAATGAATAATGACTGGAAAGAAAATTTACATTTGTTCCTTAAAAATCGCTCATCATTTTGTGTACTTCTTATTTTTTTATCACTGTCGTTACATTAAGGAGGTGTTTATGCCTCCATACCCACTATGCGTTGTTAAGTAAGGAAGATATTAATGACAACATCATAGCTAATGTTAATTCCTTTACAAATGTCATCGTTTTCACACTTTGATTTCATTCCTTTTTTCTATTCAATGAGTTTTCGTGCGTTTTTGAGGTGCTTAATGCTGTGTTTAATATTGCAAGGGATGGGTACAAAAGTTAAAAATTTTGATAGCATTTTTTGTGTGATTTTTAACTTCAATTTAATTTGACAACCTAGAAAAATCCAGAAAACTTCATATTATGTCACTCTAAGCTAAATTGTGTGGATATGGCTCGAAGAGCATTTCGAAGAGGTTGTATGTCTCTGATGGATAGCAGAATTGAGATAAGTACCTCTGTGACAGAGTGGCAGGGATCTCTGATCGAGTGGACTCAGAGATCGCCTCTTTTGAGGTCGTGGGTTCGATTCCCATCGAATCCGAATTGCTTTAATTGCAAATTTGCCATCCCTTGCTTCATAAGAGTTATGAGGATTTAAAATATGCGCTAAGATGAAAAAATATTTAAAATAATAATTCATTCTATCGCAGAAAATAAAAGCAAAATGCACGAGTAGGGGGGATGAAAAAAATTAAATTTATCAAAAAAGAAATCTGACGACGATGAAGAAGTGATGAAGCAGAAGCGCAGCATGAAAGGTAAAAAAATTCCTCTCACTCTTAATAAATTCAAAAAATAAAGAAATAAGAAAGAGATGAGAGAGTGTATATGTAAGGAATTAGGGCCAATAAATCATAAAATGTTATCCTGTTAATGTAGAAAAATCTTAATACTTTTCATAATTTGCATCAGCAACGAAAGAAAGGAGAATCTCTTGCTGTATATATATG